TTTCATGAATATTTCATGGGTGTTCAGGCTCTTAGACAAAAAAGGGAAGTGTGCAGGTCCAGGGCTGTGTGTGCTACAGGCACCTGGTGAGACTCACAGAGGAGGTTTGCGTTAGAGGGTAAAGCACTGTGAGAGGATAACTATGATGTTGCTGACAGTAATAATCTCCCATGTCTTCAGCTTGAGCACTGCTGATGGTGAGAGTGAAATCTGTCCCAGACCCACTACCTATGAAGCGATCAGGGACCCCAGTTTCTCGAGTGGATGCTAAGTAGATCAGCAGTTTAGGAGACTGGCCTGCTTTCTGCTGGTACCAAGCCAAGTAATTCTTCTGAGTTGCACTGTGGAAAAGACTCTGACTGGATATACAGCTGATGGTGACCTTCTCTCCTGATGACACGGCCAAGGAGGATGGAGACTGGATCATCACAATATCTGCACAGGCACCTAAAATCAGGAAAACCAATAAACATGTCTAACAAATAAAACATGAAATTTAATGCAGATGAAAGTTATCATTTAAATGTCCTTTAAGTGCCATATTGTTAGAGTAATGTTGCATAAAATATTTTACACTCTGGCACAAAAAAATGAATTTCTTTTATACAAAAAAGTGACACTGGCTGGGCATTGGTGGTACACGCCTTTAATCCAGGCACTCAGGAGGTAGAAGCAGGCAGAACTCTGTGAGTTGGAGGCCAGCCTGGTCTCCAGAGCGAGTGCCAGGATACACTCCAAAGCTACACACAGAAATCCTATCTCGAAAAAACCAAAAAAGTGACACTGAAAATATTTTAATACTTTGAAATTTCTCACCAGACACCCAGAGAAGCAAGGACATGAGGAACTGGATCTGTGACTCCATCTTTCTCCTCTTGCCTGTCTGAATCTACTCAGTTCTCACTATCAAGCCCTGGTTTATAAACTCCAAGCACCTGGTCTGGGTTGGAGGGTCCCATGCAAAGCACTCAGCAAATACAAAGGTAGGGCCATGGTAGTTGTATAAGAGTAGCTTCTGTCAATCAACAGGCAAATTATCATCACAGAGAACACGAGATATCACTGAAAGATACTGGCTTAATAGGTTCTCTAATAGAAGCTTTGGTAAAATCCAAGA